TACTTATCGCATACAAGGTTTTGTAGTATTTGAATATTATTTTGAGATATTTCAGTTTAGAAATTAAGCCAGCATATATTTCAAAACTTTGTTTTGTTTCGTACTTTTCAAAGATTTGGGATTTGGGGTTCCAGGTTTTGGGTAGTCTCACTCACACGAAGTACCAGCAAATCCCAAAACCAAGTAGCAAATCCGCCCACCACTATCGGTCAGTCAAAAACTCTCGACCAACAGTCCAGTTGGGGAGAGAAACACCTTCTAAACTGTACATTTGTGGTCTTTTTCTGATTTCATTGTAAACTTTAATATGGACTCGGATAGTGATGCTCCAAGTAAGTACTCAAATCATTGTTTTTCGACTTGTTACTTCCCTGTTCGTGAAACAAAGCGTAGACAGTTTGGTTTTGTTTTGTAACAACCTATTATCGATAGCCCCCTGTTTCTGAACAGTTGGGAAGATCATGACTCGATTTAACATCTGGTTATCGTATTCTTTTTGTTAAGGCAGCTGGCTTACGTTTTAACATTTGTTACATGATTCCTGGTTCTTGCTGTCTAGTTTAGTGGGCGTTTTAGGTTTTTTTCTCTGCTCATATGTCAATAAAGTTCTAGAGAAAGGACTGGTACTGGTACATCTTCGTCTTCGTCTTCCTTCTCTGTCTTTTCTTTACGCTTGGATCTGGAATCTAATCTAGATTCTCTACTGGATCTAGAATCTAGATCTAGATATATAGATCTAGATTAAGAATCTAGAATCTCATGATTCATCAATCCTCTAGATCTAGTTTAGATTAAGATTCTAGAATCTCGTAAAATCCATTCTCCAACTCTGAGAGATGGTTGTTCAGAAGTTCCTCCTCCTTATGGCAAGTTATGGCCTAGATCTAGTTCCCACCCCCCTTATTTGAGCCTAGATCTTCATCTAGATCTAGATTCTAGATCTATACGTTTGTTGTACGGCGAGCATCCAACCTAACACTGCAAAACATCAAATTATGATGATAAAAATGCAGTTTTGCGCCAGGCCCGAGAAGTCTGTTGCGGTCACACTCCTGGCTGGGTGACCAGATGGGGTATTTTGTACTGCTGGCTGTGTGACTGCAAAATGTTAAAAAACCCATACTTTCGAAACCTTTTTTTTTGGTTTGTGGAATTATCCTATTAGATGTGACTGAGAATCTCACCCAGGCTCTGCTTTGAGTAGCCCCTGAGGCTTTGATACCTCTGCTGTAGTTGGATATTTTATGTCATGATTTTAGTGCTAAGAAAACTAATCTGAGTTGATGTAAATTTGCATTATAAAACAGAAAAACTTCAGGAAAAAGGGTATGGGTGTATATAGATCTATGGCATGGTATTTTTCCAGTTAGAGCAAGATTTTGAAAGCCTTAAAATTTTATCAAGTGCCATCGGAGCTGCATTTTGTCTTCCCTAAATCATTAGCTAGGGATCATGCCACATTGGTTGCTTTATCTTTCAGCGCTTCCTCATAAATTGGTTTCTTTTTCCTTCAGGAGACGGTGTTGCTTCCATGGAGGATGACGACGACAATCAGCAAGACGCACAGTCCCAGCAGGTCAGTTGATTGGTCATCAGACTACAGTGGGCTGCAGAAAATTGACGAAATTGTTCAAATCCTTGTTTTTTCCTCCTTTGATTTGGTACATTTGAGGGTGGCCAGATTTTCTTTGAAAGGGGGAAATTTACCGTTCGGGTGCAATTTGATCCAGTTTCATACATGATTGTATCATGTTTATTTTTTAGGTTGGGATGGGATGCTTTGGATGAGAATTGTTGCTAACAGTCTGACAGAAAGTTATTAAAGCAACTTGCCACTTGGTATGGCAGGATTTGGTCTTTTCTCTCCCAGCAGAGAATGACAGGCCCCAGTGGACTTAAGATAACATTTGATGAACCATAGTTAGAGGTCAGGTGTATTATATAGATCGCATATTACATAAATACTGGATTTGTTCAAAATTTAGTAGTTTTTCAAAAAGTCTTAAATAATGTGGCCATTGTGGGATTATGGCCATATTTAAAAATTAGTGCTGCAGGATGCTATGAAGTGGACTGAAAAAAAAGTTATATTAAAATAATTTTGTAGGTCTGAATCTGAAAATTATATTTGTGAAAGTTCGTCGTTTTGGTTGTTAAAACTTGAGACCACTTAACTTTCGATTCTGAAAATATTAACAGTTGTTCAGAATCATTAAAAGGGTGCACAGTTTATTAAGGAGTCTTGAAGTCGCATAATTTCTTCATTCAGAAAAGAGCTAGAGGTGGTTAGTTGGTGCTCTGGTGTTCTTTGCTCTGTCTTTCCCTATCAAACTTCTATTGTCCTTGTCCTTATCTCTCCTCTTTGTTTTCTGTGCCATGAAGCTACTGGTAGTAACAACCTTAATCTTCAGCACTTAAAATATATACATTTTTGTGTAGCACGGCAAGTGCTGTAAAACTCTTACTAAAACTAAACTAAACGAAAGTAGCTTCATGAGATACATGTGGAATTTCCTTCAACAGATATATATATAATTTTCTGTGTTGTAGGATGAAGATGGGAGTCAGGAAGAAGACATGGAACAAGACAGAAGCCGATCGGCGTCTCCGGCCGGCAGTGACAGATCCATGAATAGCCCGGCTGCCTCCCCAGTCCGCTCTCAGAGCAGGTCAGTGTTCCCTTGTCAACAAACCATGATAATAGGACCAGGCTGTTCTGTTTGGAAAAGAGGTTCACTTGGTTTTGTGTCGTACACTTGTATTTCAATGTCCTTGACCGTGTGTTGCGGTGTATTTCTGGTTCACTCTAGGGTTCACCCGTTTGAACCAGATGGGAGGGGGAGTGGGGGATGCTACGCACTCTTGGCTGTTGCAAGGTGAGAGTTTTGCTTTTCATTCGGGCATATAATGGGGCTGCAGAAGAGTGGCAGCCATGACAGTTCAAGGTCTAGGAGTATAAGTCTATGGGATGTGTAAAGATCTCATGAATGTTTCCATCTGCAATGACACTAGAAAAGTTTGCCTTGTCTTCAAAAACATACATACTCACAAGAATATACACCTGTCTCAGACAGGTACTCATTTTCACTTGGGTCATATAAGGAAAAGTTTGTATAAAGTGCATTTCCCAAGAACTCATCATGCAGCATAAACAGGGATAAGAAACCACATCTTATCTTATCACTAGCCCAACAACTTGTCATAAACCACTCAACAGGTGTTCTGTGTGCTTAGTTGTTTGTTGGGTAATTTGATCGATTTATATTAGCCTTGATGCTGATGAATAGCATTTCTGTAGCCAGACAGTTGTCAGGCTTTTTTTTTTCCTATGTGGATGCTCATAACGTCAGAATATTGACTAACTCATCATCATTATCACATCCCCCTTTTTTTTGTTCTTTTCTTTTCTTTTCTTGAAGCGTAACAATTTATACCATGTCAGCCCATTTTTACGTAACTTACGAATATCAGCTGTGTTATCGGGACACAGGACAAATAAAGATTCCTGACTTACACTTGTATTTCCACAATATCACAGGTCCCCATCCCCCTCGGCTCGCAGTCGATCAGCCAGCCCCGGGTCTCGCCACAGCACCCAGGGGAGTGAAGCAGGGGGATCTCCCCGCCCTGATGGCCCCTCCTCCCCTGCGGGAAGCGATGATGAAGACGACGGCCCAAAGTCTCCTGACGGAAGTGCTCCTGCTTCACCAGCGGGAAGTGATGGGCCCAGGTCGCCAACAGGAAGTGCCGACGGTCCAGCCTCGCCCACAGGAAGTGCAGACGGACCAGGATCACCAGCAGGAAGTGCAGATGATGGACCGAAATCTCAGACAAGTGTTGAAGACGCACCAGCTTCACCCACAGGAAGTGCAGATGGACCAGCGTCGCCTCCAGATGCCCCCGCGTCTCCCGCAGGCAGTGATGATGGGCCAAGGTCACCCGTGGGAAGTGGCGATGAGGATGGCCCGAAGTCACCGATGGGAAGTGACAATGATGGCCCGAGGTCTCCTGCTGGCAGTGAAGGACCCAAGTCGCCTGCAGGAAGTGATGGTGGACCAAGGTCACCCGCAGGAAGTGATGGTGGACCAAGGTCACCCGCAGGAAGTGATGGTGGGCCAAGGTCACCCGCAGGAAGTGATGGTGGGCCGAGGTCGCCTGCTGGCAGTGAAGGGCCGGGTTCCCCTGCTGATGGTGAGTCGACTCATTCCCTAACCCTAACTCTTTGAACCCCATCGGACGCTGGGAGTATCCGGCGGTAATAACCCTATTCCCTATCGGACGCTGGGAGTATCCGGCGGTAATAACCCTGTTCCCCATCGGACGCTGGGAGCGTCCAGTACTAGTGACAACTGTTTCGTTTTATTTAGTGCTAGTTTTTGCTTGTTTTTTCGGAACTATTCCCAAACCAAGTTTTTTTAGTAATGACTAAGCCTTTGTTTCCGCCATTTTGAAGTTGGGAGGAAAGCTTTTGGGGTTATAATGAAACATAGTGCACCAGGTTTAGGTGACTGTAGAAAAAAACTGGGAAACGATGGAACTAACTCGGGGCTTAAAGAGTTAAGACTCACTGTGTACTGTGTTGCTGGACCTGATGCTCTGTGACAGCACACTGCGCTGTATGTTGAATGGCATTCTGTGCTGTTTTTTTAAAAGAACTGAAAATAAACTAGTACCTTCAGCACTTAATCCAGTCAAAACTTGAATGAGTACCATTGACTAGTGTTGTGTCTTGATTTTCAAAGGCTGAAACAATTCCATAGGAGTCTTTTGGACAACTTTGAGCCTCGAAATGATAGGGGAAATTGTAGAGAGATACTGTTTTCATTAACACTTCATCACCATTAGGCCTACCGTTTCCAACTGTTTTGTCTGTTATGGCTAGTTTTTTACTTTTTCAAATACTCTAGTGTCTCGCAGAGGAAAAGCAAGACTCTTTTGGGAGCAAGCCATTGATATAATCGAAAGCGAAGTTTATGAAGACAGTTTTCTGCTTGGTCCTAAAATGTTCACTCCAAGAGATTTTCAGTTGTTTTTTAAATATGGGACTGACTGTTGTTTTCATATAGCCCTTCATTGTAATCACTTGTTACCAAATGTATTGGCTAAAATAAAGTACGGCCTCCCATTTGGAACTGCTTGACCTTGTGCTGTACTTTTAGAAGCCAAAGTGGGGTAGCTGGTATGTGTCTCAGTGAAAGGGAACAGGGCACTGAGATGGTCATGAAACATGTAGACTGGGGAGACCGAACATGATCATGCAGATTTACCTTGAGTTTTAAACCTTGTACAACGGAAAAAATTTATAGATATGCCATATAAAACTGGCATGTTGGGTATGGTGGTGAGGATCTTGGCTTCGGCGTGCAACAGTTGTGTATGTTTCTTGCAAGGGGAAGTCCTTATCATCATCTGCTATCTCCGTCTTTTTGTTCTGGGGAAGCTGTCATTACCCTTTCACATTTTTTTCCTCTCACTCAGGGGCAGTCAGTCAAGAAGAAGAAGGGGAGACAACACAACAGGACGCATCCCGGGAAGGGAGTGTGGCCGGTTCCCCAGCTCAGCGGGATCGCAGTCGCTCCCGTTCAGGTACTACCTACCAGATGTATTGTTACTGGAAATTGAGGATCTGGTTTTGGTAAAGATAGTGAAAGTACTTTTTGCCGGGTTTCGTTTTCGGCGGGTTTACTCATTGGGGAAACTGGCTTGTATGACTAATTTGCATGACAAGAGGCAGCAGTATTCTCAGGTGTTTTCAAACTACTCTGTAAAGGCTCCAAGTAAAGTAAGTAAACAGGCAGAAGACATGAGTTCAATTTCCAAAATGGGGAATTTTTATTTAAAAAATTTTTTAAAATTTATTTATTTATTTATTTTTTTACAGTAAACATATTCTGTCTGGCTTTTCAGATACTGGTTCCAACTCAGATTCTGTTGGCTGAGACGTTCTAATTATAGATAATAGATGTCATTTGTATAGCGCAAATCCCTGCTCAACAGCAAGCTCTATCCGCTTCACAATCTATACTATTACCCCAGCAGACCTGAGAGCATTCTGTTACAAACTCAACTTCCTGGGAAGCATACAGTTCAAGCAGCCAGTTATATGCGCTAAAACACTAACGCACTGACAAGATCTTTCGCTGTCATTCCAGGTCAAAGCAGCCTGCTTCCCTAACGATAAAATAATGATAAAAACCAAACATGTACAATAAATTTTGTGTTACAGGAAGCCGAGCTGGTTCTGCCAAGTCCCGATCACGGTCGAGGTCAGGGTCACCAGCAAACTCAAATAGGTCACGGTCGGGAAGTCCGGCTGGGTCGAGGTCAAGGTCGAGGAGTCGATCAGGTCTGTTTTTGTAACTTTCTTTTTCTCTTTTCTCTCTCTCTTCCTCTTTCTCTTTCTTTCTCTCTCTCTCCCCAATTTTCTGTCTTTCCCCCTTTCTCTCTCTTCCCCTTTCTCTCTTTTCTCTCCCCCTTTCTCTTTCTCTCTCCCCCTTTCTCTTTCTCTCTCCTCCCCCACCCCCTACTCTTACGAAAAAAAAAAAGCGTGGATAAATGCACACTTGTAATCTAATATTTCCATGTAGAAATGACATTCGTTGGGAAGACGTTAAAATTCTAACGCTCATTCCCTCTCTCTCACCTCTCCACAGGCAGCCCAAAGTCTCCAGCAATCAGCCTGGTGGGTAGCCCGGGGGCTCGCAGCCGATCTGGTTCTCCTGCCGGGTCAAATAGGTCACGGTCAGGGTCAAGGTCAAGGTCAAGATCAAGATCTCGCTCTGGGTCGCCAGCTCGCAGTCGTTCAGGTAGGCCACTTGTCATAGAGTGTTGAGGAACCTTTGTAAATGTTACCTTTAACTGGAATAGATAGACCAAGTCTTCTTTTGTTTTAAATTTTGTTTTGTTTGTTTTTGTTTTAAAGTAATTGCTTAGGTCACTCTACAGTCCATCTGAACTTCAGGAGTGGGCAAACACTGTAAGATAGCTTTTGTTTCTTCTGTCATTGTTTTGATCTGAAGGGTTGTTTTTTTTTCATCTTGAAAATAAAAAAAATATTTGAAAATGTCACATGGTTAGAGCATAACACTGATGATAAATGATTTGCTTTTTTGTCAAAAATAAGAAAAATTTGGAATATTCATTGTCTTTTGGGATGTACCGGATATATATATATATGTTGTTTTTTTTTCACCTTGGCAAAATTTCTTACTCATTGGTCCTCACATAATCTATCCTCCTTGACAGGTAGTCCAAAGTCCCCTCCCATCAGTCCCGTCGGCAGTCGTTCGGGCTCCCGCGCAGGGTCAAGGTCACGTTCACGGTCAGCCTCTGGCTCGAGGAGGGGTTCAAGGTCACGGAGTCGCTCTGGGTCGCGGCGGAGTGGGTCAGGGTCAAGGTCGCGCAGCCGGTCTGGCTCCCGGGGAAGGTCGAGGTCCAAGTCTCGATCCAGGAGCCGGTCGGGGTCTCGAGGTACGTGTTGTTTGGTCGTCTGGGTTATTTGGTTTATTGGTGTATGTATATGGGTCGTTTTTGTTGTTAGCGATCCAGGAGCAGGTCGGGGTCTCGAGGTACGTGTGTTCGGTCGTCAAGGTTCTTTGGTTTATTGTTTCAGGGATGTAAATCTTCCGGCTTTTTCCGTTTGTTCCGGCCGACTTGCCATTTGGGCCCCAGCTTTTAACAAAAGTCTACTATAAACAATCCATATTATATATATAGTAAATAGAGATTTTTTGTTGTAACAGGGGGAAAGAAACAAATATAATTTAGTCTCACGGTATTCTTGTTTCAGTCAGTGTGCGCACACCGTATATTTTGTCTGGATCAAGACTGGTAGAAAGGGGTTCAATAGACAGAAATTTTGGTCAAAGTCACCTTAAGTATTCTAATTTGGCTGAAAAATTTTGAGGTGGTTGGTTGGAATTCACATTTATATAATAGAAATATGAATGGTTTTTGGACCTTTGATGTAAATTTTAGAATTTTAGGTTTGTATTGTTTTTGCTACATTGTAGTATCTTCATTTTATTGTTACCATTTGTGGGTGGTTGGCGGGTGCTCTGGTGTGGTTTGCTCCTTCTTTCCTATCAAACATCTATCGTCCTTATCTCCCCTCCTTCTTTTTTGTGTTTGTTACTCTCTTGTAACACCTCTAATCTATGACCTTATTGTGTTGCAAGTGCCGTAAAACTCTTACTAAAACTAAAAAAACTGTTAACATTTTCAATGACATTTCAGCCTTGAATATGTTTTGTTTATTATTTTGGTAATAATGTGAAACAAGTAGCCTTTGTGAAACAGGATCTCAGTGCGTGTTGTTTCTGCTTCCTCCTTGTTTCAGCGAGCTCCGCCGGGTCTGGTGGAAGAGTGTCCGACAAAGAGAACGACAGTGACGACGAAGGGTGAGCATTAGATCTACAGTTTTGTTTTATAACCCCCCCCCCCTCCCCCCACAAAATAAAACTACTTTTCGTTAATTTTTTATTGATTAAGATGGAGGTAGTGAGTATGGGAGGGAGGGGATTGATGGGTGGGTGCTCTGGTGTGGTTTGCTCCTTCTTTCCCGTCAAACATCTATCGTCCTTATCTCCCCTCCTTCTTTTTTTATGTTTGTTACTCTCTTGTAACACCTCTAATCTTCTGGTGCCCATATGACCTTATGCAGTTGCGGATGCCTTAAAACCTCTACTAAAACTTTAAAAAAACCTAAAACCCCAGAAGTCTGAGTGTTCGGTTATGGTTTATTTCCTCAGGGCAAAGAAGGCTCGGGGTTCAGACGATGAAATGAAAGGTAAGTGACAGATACGTCTCTAATTACTCTGAAAGAAGAGCAAAGTCAATGGGTTTCTAGTTGCAGATTTATAGCCTTATTGTCCAAATACACACGAACTAAACGAAAACTTTTTATTTTGCCGGTCACTATTTTGCTGTTGTGATCTGAAAATGAAGGCATAATGCAAGTTTCTCTTCTCTTGGGGGGGGAGTCTTTTGGAAAGCTCAGACTGAAGTTACGTCTGATTTACAGGCTAGGAAAAGGTTGAAAAAATTATTTATTTTAACATCTTCATGGTCTGGAACAAGATTGGTTGACGAGACCTTTCAGAATAAGAACTTTTGTTTGTGTGCAAAATGCGATAATGGATGTGGGGGATAAATTTTATAAAGCAAAGCAGAAGTCTGATCACTGGACTTCCTTTCTTATGTACACTTGTTCTAGACAACTGTTTTCTTATCTCTGATCACTGGCCTTCCCTTCTTATATACACTTGAAGACTACAGGGGAAGACTACAACTGTAGTCACAAACTGAAAATTGTGAGGGTACCTATTTTGAACGCTTGTTGACTCATAACTATATTTCTGTTCAACTGTTGATTGATTATTGTTGTTAGATTTCCCATCCAACAACACTTAACAATAAACCACCAGTCAAACAAATATGAAGTTATGAGTCCATAAGCTTTTAAAACTGGCACTCTCGCAATTTCCAGTTTGTGACTACCATCGTTTTTCCCCTGTGCTCTTCATTTGTTCTAGTCGAAACTTATTGTGTTTTCTTATGTCTGACTGCTGGGCTTCCCTTGTTATGTACACTTGTCCTAGTCTACATTTTATATTATTTTCTTATCTCTTTTCACAGATGCAGGCAGTGGGGACGAAGGGAACAAAGAGTAAGTGCTGGGCAGATAATTTGTTTTGACGAAGATTTTGTTTTTAAAAAATTTTCTGGGAATTTTGTTTTAAGGTTATGGAAATGTTTGATGTTTATTTTTGTTTTGTTTTGTGTGTGTTTGATGCTTTTAAAATGGAAAGTTTTTGTATCCAGATATGGGTGTGGTTTGAGAGCGTCACTAGTTGATTGTCTTTCTTTACTTTTCGTCTTTTGTTTCCGTTTGTCTGTTTTACTTTTTTCCCAGCTGTGAATGACGGTCATTGTTTCAATGTGCCCTTTTTGACTCCATCAAACAAAATATTTTCTGTGCTCTGGTGTGGTTAGTTTCTTCTTTCCTATCAAACGTCTATCATCTTTATTTCTCCTCTTATTTTGTGTTTGTTACTCTCTTGTAACACCTCTAATCTTCGGCACTTTTATGACCTTGTTGTGTTGCAAGTGCTGTAAAACTCTTACAAAAACTAAAAAAATGTATTCCAGAAACCTTTATGAAGGCTTTCGGGCTATTTCATGTATCTGAATGTTTTATTTGTGTAAGTTTCATACTCTGAGAATGAGAATTATGTATGTGGGTGGTTGGCAGGTGCTCTGGTGTGGTTTGCTTCTTTTTTGCTATCAAACATCTATCGTCCTTATCTCTCCTCCTTCTTTTTTGTGTTTGTTACTTTCTTGTGACACCTCTAAATCTTCGGCACTTCTATGACCTTATTGTGTTGCGAGTGCAGTAAAACTCTTACTAAAACTCAAAACAATCCAGATGTATGGATGGTTGGAGGGCGTCACTAGTAGGTCCAACTTTTCCCCTTTCCCTCTGATGTTTCTGTTTTGTATATTTTGCTCTTTCCATTCACTGGATGTCCATTATTGTTAAAATGTGCTTTTCCAACTAGGTTTTTTTAAATTAAAAAAAATAAATTTTTCACCAGAGAAGACAACCTGATAGCAGACATTTTTGGGTCGAGTGACGAAGACGAGGAGTTTGAAGGTTTCGACGCTAGTGAGGTGCCAAAGAAAGAGAAGAAGAAGAAAACAGGTAAGTTTGATCCTTGGGTGGTATTGAAGTCTGGGTCAAAGTAAAGTGTAACCCCTACCCCTTTGCATATCATTATGATCACTGTGCACTGTCTCTTAATCCTGTAAAACATTACTGCTACCCCATTTTTTATACCACACAATGACTCTCGTGCTTAGGTAATACCGTTTGAGTGGGTGGTTGGCGGGTGCTCTGGTGTGGTATGCTCCTTCTTTCCTATCAAACACCTATCGTCTTTATCTCCCCTCCTTCTTTTTTGCGTTTGTTACTCTCTTGTAACACCTCTAATCTTCAGCACTTATATGACCTTATTGTGTTGCAAGTGCTGTAAAACTCTTACTAAAACTACTAATTGTCTGTGGTGTCTAGCGATCAAGTCAGACGACGAAGACGAGGGCGTGTCTGGCGTCCCGGAGGAGGCTTCTGGGGGAGCGGTGCCGGAACTTTCCGATGATGAGAATCTCGATGATGTGAGAAAGGACTCCGGTGATGGAGAACAGTGAGTACTGGTAGATGTACGACCGTAGGACCGTTTCAAATGTTGCTGGATAGCCCTTCCTTCAACCCTACTCTGTGAGTGGTTGGCGGGTGCTCTGGTGTGGTTTGTTCCTTCTTTCCTATCAAATATCTATCGTCCTTATCTCCCCTCCTTCATTTTTATGTTTGTTACTCTCTTGTAACACCTCTGATCTTCTAGCGCTCATATGACCTTATGCAGTTGCTAGCGCAGTAAACCCTCTAACAAAACTAAAAAGACAGGGCTAAGGAGCAACCACTCACAAAATGACCTATTTAAATTGTGTTGTGTTAGGGAAGGTGGCATAAAACTAATATTTTACTGTGACAAAATTTCAGAGTATTTTAGAAATTTATTTGAGCCCTGTGTTGCTGACTCCATAGTTCTGTAACCTATTATCTGTTGTAGATGTATTAGTCTTTGTTGGACATTGACACATACACCTTGTTATTGTTGTTATTAATATTATTATTTTTATTAATATTATTATTTTTATTAATATTATTATTGCAATTATTATTATTATTATTATCATTATTTATTGCAGATCATATCCATCATTAGTCTCTGCTTCAGCCATAGACTCCTCATGGGTGTTATCGTAGCTAATTGGATTTCCTGTATCTTCCCACAGGTCGTACGCCTCAGACTTTGATCTCATGATGGCCAAGAGAAAGGAGGAGATGCAGAAACAGCGAAGAAAACGGAAAGACGTTGACCTCATTAACGATAACGATGACCTTATCGCTGACCTCATTGTCAAAATGAAGGAAGCTGCCAATGTAAGCTTTTTATCTGTAAAAAAGTTTGTTTCAGGTTAACTTTTTCCTGTGGCCTCGGTGGCCTCGTGGTTAGGCTCTCAGACCCGCAACCGTAAGGTCATGGGTTCGAATCACGTTGGGGCCCGACGTTGTGTCCTTGGGAAAGACACTTTACACTAATTTTCCTCACTTCACCCAGGTGGGAATGGGTACCCAGCTTTAGACAGTGAAAGATATTGTCAGTTTGTTAGTGTTTGAGCGCTTAAGCAGCTGCTCGCACTGTATGGTTCCCGCGAAGCTGAGAATATTTCGGAGTGTTCTATGGTCTGCTGGGGTAATGATATAGTGTAAATCGCACAGAGCTTTCCATCGAGGGGGATATGCACTCTGCAAATACTGTTTATTATTATTATTAACGGTTTCCTGTTGACATTCTAAGCCAACGGTGGCCACTATGTTGTTCAACTTCCCCGGTGTACAAAAGAACCTTCTAGAGTTGGTGGTTGGCGCGTGCTCTGGTGTGGTTTGCTTCTTCTTTCCTATCAAACATCTATCGTATTTATCTCCCCTCCTTCTTTTTTGTGTTTGTTACTCTCTTGTAACACCTCTAATCTTCTGGCGCTCATATGACTTTATGCAGTTGCGAGTGCCGTAAAACCTTTACTATAACAAAAATAAAACCTTCCAGTGTTCATTTTCATGCTCGTTGAATGGAAGTAAACTCTGACTGCTGGCTCTGGCTCTGAATCACAGACCTCAGTAGAAATGGTCGCTTTTAAGGACAAGCGGGCTAACCCAGATTTCAGGGGTTTCCAGAAATCTTGACCTTTACGAAAAGTGGGCATTGCCCTTCCTATAGGAGAAGTTTGGTTTCATTGGTGTGTGAATTTGTTTAGTTATAGAGAAGACTGTCCTTGTATATATTAAAGGAACTGAACAAGGGGCAAAGACTTTATCTTCGATTTTCTCAAAACAGCATTTTTCGGGATAGCTCCCATGTTCTTAAAAGCGACCAAATGAATACAAAGCTATATTTCAATGTCAGTGACTGATTTTTATTATAGCCAAGCTTACTATTGAGGACATACTGCAGGAGAAACTAGTTAAGTGCAGGTCTGATTTCAGCCAGGAGTGATCTCTGGAACTGCATAATTCAACAAGTGGTTTTGTTGGAATAATGATTGTAACGACTTGTTATAACGACGCAGTGGGGCAGCATGAAGATCTTCTGACCACAGTGAAGAGACGAAAATTAAAATGGTATGGGCATGTCACAAGATCCACAGGACTTGCCAAAACAATCCTGCAAGGAACTGTACAAGGAGAGAGAAAGAGAGGAAGGCAGAGAAGGAGATGGGAGGACAACATCACAGAGTGGACAGGAAAGACGATGGGTGACAATCTGAGGAAAGCAGAGGACAGCGAGAAATGGCGAGAGCTGGTTGTCAGATACAGTGGTGCCCCCACGGTTGCCCCAACCACAGGATAGAAGAAGAAGAAGAAGAAGAAGAAGAAGAAGAAGAAGAAAATGATGATTGCAGGTTAATAACATGGATGACATGTGTTTTATAGTGATGATATCGGTTCGTAATTTTGTAGTGATAATGAAATTATTGATTTGTTTCTGGCCATTATTTCAACCCCTTAATTTAAATCAATTATGTTCCTCTCTGTGTTTCTTCTACAGCATGACCGAGAGCTGAATCAAAAGAAGCAGGTGGCCACCAACAAGATCAAGATGTTGCCCTTTGTACAGAATCAGCTCAAGAAGTAAGATTCTAGGCCTCTAGCTGGATTGCCCGCTTGCTTTCACGTACCTGTGTGATCAGACATTGTCAGGCTGTCCTGTGACCAGTATCCGGGGGTGGGGGGGGGGGGGGGCGGTGGCTGATTGGCTCTTCACTGTTGCCTGCTTTTAGTATTTTCCACATGCTTTCTGTTCCTCCTGTATGATCAGATATTGTCACTGTCAAGTTTTCCTGTGACCAGCACTGGCCGGGTACTTTCAGTTCCTCCTGTGTGATGAGATATTGTCAGTGTCAGGTTTTCCTGTTACCGGTATCGCGCACGGGGGGGGGGGGGGGGAGGGGGTTGGACTGATAGGCTCTTCACTGTTGCCTGTGTGTCTCTCTCTAACTGACTGAGGTCATCTAACTGACCGAGGTCATCTTTAGGAAATGGTAACAAGGGTGGCCTAAGGTCACAGATGGGAGGTGACAATGGTGGCCCGAGATGGCCTGCTGGCGGTGAAGGACTGAAGTCACCCGCTGTTTGGCTCCGTGCCCTGACACAAACTCAGAAGTCAACAATAGGCGATCAGCGTCATTGATAATAACTATGATCTTTGTAGCCTTTAATGCGGCATTGTATGGAAAATCAGTTGCATTTGTAAACAACAGAAAAATTGATAAAATGCAATATTGGCAGGTGCTATTTCCATTTGAGTTTGGGAAAGATTTTTTTTTGTGTGTGTGTGTGTCGTCTGCTGGGATATTGTCTCACTCTCACCCTGGAGGGCTTTTCTGGTAGGTCCATAAAAAAAAAATTCTCTCTATTATTTCTGTCTTGCAAACATACCTTTTCCTTTCACGAAATGACTGTCATCACATGATGTGCTTCTCGTCTCTCAAACAAACTGCATGGTCATTTTTTTTCTGGTCTCTCCTACCCCAGGTCTGATCTGCACGGAATTTTTTTGGAGTCAGGAATCCTTGGTGCTATGACGGTGAGTGGGTTATTGGTTGTTGTGTTTTCAAATCCCTTTAGCTGCGAGCATTTCGCTCTTGGCAGCGCAATGCCTCCCTCAAGTAACCACATGTCCTTGTCATCTGGTCAACGCCAGAGTAGAGCAGGTTTTGTAAGTCTGTAGGTGTGTGTAGGAGCCTGCATCGAAGAACTGCCAGGTTTGGGCAGTGAAGGAGAAGATGTTCAACAGTCTCCTCGTGGTAGAAACAGTGTCTGCAATGGGGTTCCCCACATGGGGTTAATTCTGTTTATGTGCTTGTTGGTGTGTAAGTGTCCTGTGCGGGCACTGATGATCTATGTCTGATCGGCTCTACATAAAAGATTCGAAGGGTCTTTGGGATTGGGTTTGTCCATGTACCCGAAGAGAGATCTTCCTGAATCTGCGTTGGCCCATCTGTTTAGCCACTCGTCTCTGCTTTTGGCTTGGATGATCCCTCTGTAGGTCCGTAAAGAGGCAGCTGTGTCTGTCTAGGGCAGGCTTGCTCCAGTCCTTGATAGCTTGTCTGCAGTCTCATGCCCTGGTGCTCCAGAATGGGCAGTGGGTTATTGGTAAACTAAACAGTTCTAGTGGGCAGGTGGTTGGAGGTCACCACTGGTTGGTCCTGTTGCTTTTCTGTCTTTTGCTTTTTTTTTCTATTGCTAAATTTACAGTTCTTAAAACCTCACAAATAAATACCACTTTTTAGTGATTACTTTAGTGATTCACGGTCTTGCAGCATCTGCGGTTTATGGGTATTGGTTGTAAGTCACATAGCAGAAACTAAAGTTTTCTTCCTTTTCTGCATCTCTCTTTCTCCCTGCACTAAGTGACCATTATTGTGTCGGTGTGCTTCTCTTTATTGAAAAAAAGCCGACAATTTTTGTTTGTTTGAATGAATAAGAAAATAACTATTATCTTTTCTACCAAAACAGGAATGGCTGGCCCCGTTACCAGACAAGAGTTTACCTCACATCAACATCAGAGAAGGCTTCCTCAGGATTCTGCAGCAGGTGGGTTGTAGTAACAGAATGCAGAATGTCATTTTTCAGAGGAATTTGAATTTTACAGAAAGCTGGCATTCTTCTTTCCTATCAAACATCTATCGTCCTTATCTCCCCTCCTTCTTTTCTTGTGTTTGTTACTCTCTTGTAACACCTCAAATCTTCTGGCGCTCATATGATCTTATGCAGTTGCGAGCGCCGTAAAACTCTTACTAAAACTAACTGAAGTTGGCATGAAAAACAAACAAAAAGGGCAACATTATCTTAGTCCAGTACATAAATAATAAATATTGACCTTTTCTAAGGTGATTTTTTTTTTTCGTAGCGGCGGTAAGTGGCGTCTAAAGATATAACGACTTTTGTTGTTCCTCTTTGACCTCCTCAGTTCCCCGCCATTCACAGTGACCTACCCCCGGGGCGGTGCCACTGACTGAAGTGTCTTTAGGCCATTCTCAAAGGGGGGACATTTCTCGTTCTAGTGCACTGTAGAATTGTAAATGGGCTGATCTAACAATGTCATGCTCATAACTGTGCCTGAACTACAACAGGGAACTGCTGTTTTTTCTTTCCTAATCCTCACTATCGTCATTTTCCTCTACTTCTTTTGTATGTTTGTCACTCTCTTGTGACCCGCTATTTCCAGGGTGTCCTGATAGTCGAAGCAGACTTTGTGCTGTTGAAGCTAGAGAGGTGAGCAGAGTAAGTCTGATTCCCTGTAAGGACTTCTCTGTTGACATCCACCCCTTGGCGCTCATATGACCTTATTCAGTCGCGAGCGCCGTAAAACTTCTAGTAAAACTAAAACTAAATCACAGCGACCTTTGGTTGTTCCTCTCTGTCCTCCTCAGTTCCCCACAGTCACCTTTCGTTGTTCTTCTCTGTCCTCCTCAGTTCCCCGCCATCCACAGCGACCTGTTGAAGAGCAGCGGTATCGGCAAAGCCATCATGTACCTGTACAAACATCCCAGGGAAGCCAGGGAGAACAAAGTGGTTGCCGGGAGACTTATCAGTGAGTTTATAGGAGTGCTTCTTAAATATATGAGAGAGAGATAGAAGGAGAGAGAGGGTGGAGAGGAGAGGGGAGAGGAGAGGAGAGGGGAGAGGAGAGAGAGAGAGGAGAGGAGAGGGGAGAGGAGAGAGAGAGAGAGAGAGAGAGAGAGAGAGAGAGAGAGAGAGAGAGATGGAGCGAGATGGAGCGAGATGGAGGGGGGGGGGGGAGAATTTCACAAAGAGAGTGAGGGAGAGAGGGGGAGACAGACAGACAGACAGAGAGAGAAAATGCTCACCATTATGGTTGTTCTTGTCTTCAGATGATTTGGGGGGGGGGGGGGGGGGGGGGAGATTTCACAAAGGGAGAAAGGGGGAGACAGACAGAGAAAATTTCCTCGTGCTCACCATTATGATTGTCCTTGTCCTCAGATGAGTGGTCTCGGCCTATCTTCTCCCTCACCACAAACTTCAAAAACCTGTCCAGAGAGGAGAGAGAGCAGAGAGATTACGAGCAGATCCCCAAGAAACGGAGAGTCAGGTCAGTCGTCAGTCGTAACTGACGTACGTTAGAACAGGCTTCCTGTGACCTCCTTAACCCTATCCGTACGCCCTGGGGTCATTTTGTACTCCCGGGGTTGTATTCTTCACATTTTAGAATACTTCTAGTACGAAGATCTCTTTGAAACTTTCTGTATTTCTCAAAAAATCATTTTGACAGGCTGCTATGCAAAGCGTACGGATCGGATTAACGAGTAAATTTCCTCTTTGGAAAGTGGTGGCACAGAGTTCCCCTCGTTTGGATACGATAGTAAAACACATCGTACGGATAGGGTTAAATTCAAGGAGTCCTTGGAAACTCCTTGAATTTGCATTCAAGGAAAAATCTCCTTAAAAACTCCTTGAGTTTTGCCGGATCTGACACGAACAAAATGTTTGTCAGATTGCTGTTGGCGCTCCGTCGAAACTTGACAGCTCCAACACAGAAAACCAAGTTGGAGAATGTCTAGTGAGGGTTTCTTACCATCCATGGACATGTCCAGAGTGCAGCGATGTTGCTTCCTGAAACAATGAAAAATGAACAATCTTACCGTGGAAAAGTCTGACAATTAGTTCATCTAGATGGTGTTACGAGATTGTTGGTGCCGTAGTAAGACACGACGTATGGATAGGGTTAAATAATTAAGTGTAACTGTTTACGTCTGCTGCTGTTTGGCTATGTTGACTTCTGCACATTCAGTATGGCAAGGATTTGTGGTTTGTTTGGTTGATTTATAGACATTTAAAAAAATAATTTCTTAGTTTAATCAATGTTTTTAAAAAGTTTGACAAATAATGAGTTTTTTTTTGCTTTAAAAGAAAAACTTACCTAAAGTGGAAAAAAATTCTGTCACTCTTATGTGAAGTGTAAAAAAATGTTCTGAGGGGATTGGGGGGGAGGGGCAGAGAGAGAGAGAGGGAGAGAGAGAGAGAGAGAGAGAGAGAGAGAGAGAAAGAGAGAAAGAGAGGGTTAGAAAGAGAGTGAGAGAGGGGGGTGGGGATGTGTTTTAGAGAGAAAGAGAAGAAATGAAAATTTAATGTACATTTGATGTTGTCCCATGTTGTGCGATATTCACCTGTGTGTCTGTTTCTCTTCCTCCCCCAGCATGGAGGGGGCACAGACTCCCCGGAGGGACATTGACAAGGCTATGGCAGGGGAGAAAAAGTGAGTGATTAAAACCTGAGTTTTGTCAACGGTTTCCCGGAGTTTTTTCTTCAGTCACCTAAACCTGGTGCACTATGTCACATTACAACCCCAAAAGCTTGCCTCCAACTTCAAAATGGTGGAAACAAAGGCTTAGTCATTTCTAAAAAACTTGGATCGGGAATAGGTTCGAAAAAACAAGAAGAAACTAACACTAAATTAAACGCAACAGTTGTCACTAGTACTGGAAGCTCCCAGCATCCGATTGGGAATAAAGAGTTAACACTAGACCAAAAATAAATGCTTAACCCTATCTGTATGCCCTGGGGTCATTTTTGTTACTCTTTTGTAACACCTCTTATCTTCAGCACTTGTATGACCTTATTGTGTTGCGAGCGCCGTAAAACCTCAGCTAAAGCTAAAAACTAAAACATCTATCGTCTTTATCTCCCATCCTCCTTTTTTGTGTTTGTTACTCTCTTGTAACACCTCTAATCTACAGCACTTCTATGACCTTTTAGTGTTGCAAGTGCCGTAAAACACTTACTAAGACAGAAACAAGCCCTCTTATTTATCCAATGGTTTGTGTTTCCAGAGCTCTGCGACCCGGCGACCCCGGCTGGGTGTACAGAGCCCGAGTCCCGCTTCCCTCCAACAAAGACTACGTGGTCCGACCAAAGACCAACACAGAGTACCAGCCGCCCACCAAGGTAAGGACAGACCTCGGTTTATTTGATGGAGTTTTATCGTCACGGTCATTTTTGGCGGGTGCTCTGGTGTGGTTTGCTCCTTCTGTCCTATCAAACATCTGTCGTCCTTATCTCCCCGCCTTCTTTTTTTGTGTTTGTTACTCTCTTGTAACACGTAATCTATTCTTCGGCACTTATATGACCTTATTGTGTTGCAAGTGCCGTAAAACTCTTACTAAAACTAAGACTAAGGTAAGGAGAGACCACAGTCTTATTTATTTGAGTTTTATTGTCACAGTCATTTTTGTCGAAAGTGCTGTAAAACTCTTTTTTAAAAACAAAACTCGGAGACCTGCATCTGTGTTTGGCAGTATGCGATCGGCACAGCCCGTACGTGACTGGCAGTATTGAACGTATTTTTCAAAATGGCCCTAAGGAAATGAAAGGGATAAAGTTTGAATTTGTGAGGCATTGTGGTAAATACAGGCTGTTGTTGAGATAATGAAATCGAAGAAACCAGCATTTTTTTCCGCCAATTTGGCAGTTTGTATCGTATTTTTATTTTATTACTCAACACCTTTCATGACCATTTCAAAACACATTTCTGCATGGGTTTTACTAAAAAACGTTGATTAAAGGTACAAAAAGAGGGTTAATTTTCAGTTTCCAAGGACTCTCAAGCCATGGAAATCACCAAACTTTGACAGCCATTTTCTTGCTAATTTTACCTTTAAAACCAGTAGACCCCACCTCATTTAATCGGAAGTATCTTGACCTCTGTTCAAGATAGATGGGTGATATTTTCTTCAAAAGATGGGCAAATGAACCATCTTTAAGGTGGTACCAATAACTCGATGTGCCCAAAAATTGACGAGTGCTAATTCCACCGCATTGTGACACATTTACAGTTTTGCCATTTATAAACATCTGGTCTTTCAGGTCGTGTCAAAGACGAAAGACTAACATCTCTGTGATGTAGTCGTACATTGTAGATGCTGTAAGCCATTACTCGCAGAAAACCTCAGGTTGCTTCCTGTGTAGCGAGAGTTTTTATAGAGTATTCCAATCTTGCTGCTGGGACATTATATCTCGGGCTGGCCTTGGCAGGAAGGATTAAAGCCTGCTTCCTAAATTATCTAAATTGTCTTGATGGGGGCTTGAAATACCTGCATTAAATTTTTTTTAAAACCCAGAAAAAAAGATGAAATACCTTTTATCTATTTTTCATAGCACGTGTATTGAAAGTAATTTCAGTTTTGCGTGTTTTAACAGCCTACCGCTGGTCTGTTGCATCGACAAATTATGTACAAAATGTGTTCGGCTACGTCAAATTTGCTTTTTTCATCTCCCAGGGTTCGTCGAAGAAACCCATCAGCCGATATGAAAAGCACAAGCGAAGCTTCCTGGAGAAGAAAAAGTACTCCAAAACCCAGAAAGCCGTGGCAATCAGTATCGAAGGACGCAACATGGCTTTGTGAGGACGGGTTCTGGGGGTTTTATTTTATTTATTTTTTTTTCGATGAGTGTACATCCAACTGTGTGTGTGCGTGAATGTGTATGTGTTTGTGTATGTGTGTGTGTATGTGTGTGTGTATTTGTGTATGCAAGTGCGAGTGTGTACATGGGCGTGTGGAAGGCTCGTCTGACTGAAGTGTCTGGGAAGTGTGTGATGTGCCATGAATATTTCCAGGTTTTTCTTCTTTGAAATAAACGATTTTTGGGTTAACATTAAAATAAAAAAAAAAAAAAAAAGATTATAGCGGGCTTTGGGGTGGGTATATTGTTGACGATATTTTGAGACCCACTCCCTTTTTTTTGGGTGTATTTTTCTGCGGTAGATTTCCTGTACAATTTTGTTCTAGTTGTATAGATAGATATCTTCTTCATCAAAGACAAGATGGAAAACTGACGTCAGTGATCATGGTTTGCTTCTCCTTTTCTCTGTCGGACATACAATAAAACAAACAAAACTCTGTTCTTTTCCTCCATTTTGCATCATGTGATATATATAATGAGATTAGTCATCCTTGCATGATGATTCTGTGTAATAAAGTTTTTAAAAGCACCATTCTAAAATATTTCATTTTTATTATTATTGTGTTAAGTTTAGGGGTAGGAGGAGAAGGTAAGGTTTGACGCCCCCACTTTTTGTGTCCATTTTGTCACCGTCATAACTCCATGGATTGATAGGAACATCGTTATCATTGTGCTAAACTTGTTTTGTTATGTTTTGAGAAGACCTGGCAAAAAATATCAACATTGCTGACCTATATATCCATCTCATGACTGGAGCAAAAGAGCCCTCCCGAGCACCGTGCGTTCAGGAGGAAACAACTGTACTAATAACTTAGAAAACTGAAAAACTGACTTGCACCATGGGTCATGACGATGAGGATGATGTCTTTGGGGAAGTTTTACTGAACAACTTTGAACAGTGAGTTAGGGGGACATGTTACTGTACTGTACAACTTTGCACAGTGACGTAGGGGGACATGTTACTGAACAACTTTGCACAGTGACGTAGGGGGACATGTTACTGAACAACTTTGCACAGTGACGTAGGGGGACATGTTACTGAACAACTTTGAACAGTGACTTGGGGGACATGTTACCGTACAACTTTGAACAATGTCTTTGGGGGACATGTTACTGTACTGTACAACTTTGAAGAGGTCTTGTGGGTGGTCAGTCTCATGTATTGGTTATTTTAATTTTGTGTATGTTGGAATAAGTTCTTGCACCATGACTCTTGAGGAAGATTTTAACAGGAACAGCATTGAAAAGTTTTTGTTGGAGTAACTCTTTAGTTTCAGAGGATTAATGTGGTTTGCAGAGATCAGAAGGTTCTTAATTGTGAGATAATGCAGATAATGCTTTTGTTAGACATACATCAGATATATATATATATAGGAAAATTAGTTCAGTTATTAAAATTATAGAACATTTGTTGATTTTTGTTTTAAGCGTTTTAATAGCTTAAGTTTTGGTTTTTTTTTAGAAATGCATGTTCCATTTATTTCTTGACAAGTCCTGATTGAGGAAAATGTTTGTGCCCATCGATCATTTTGTCTTTGTGGTTTTTGTTTTTGTTGGGGTTTTTTTGTTTTCATTTTTTATGACAGATTCTGCTGCATATGTTGTAAATTACTCCAAGTACGGGAAGAAGAAAACTGGCAAAAAACAAAAAAAGTGAATAAAATGATGATAATGTCAGTGTGGACTTACTCGTTTTCTCTCTGTTGTTGTGTGATCATATTATGGTCCAGTTATGGTAAGGCTTTTTGTTGGTGTTTTCTTCTTCTTCTTCTTTTTCTTCTTCTTTTTCTTCTTCTTCTCTCTCTCTCTCTCTCTCTCTCTCTCTCTCTCTCTCTCTCTCTCTCTCTCTCTCTCTCTCTCTCTCTGTGAAAACAATAGATTTGATCAAGATTTTCAAAGTAAAGATCAACAATTATTCTTTGGCGCTGCGCCTTACTGAACTGTTCCCATGTCATATCAGAGACAAGATCAGAAGACCATGAACTACCATCACACTGAATCACATCGAGAAAATGACTTGAGGTTTCGTGTTCAAATTCAATTTTGAAGCCCAAACGAATTTCCAGAAATCTTACTCTATCGACCTCCGGATGCAAAAAACCCCCCCAAAAACACGAAAGCAACAACAACAAAAACGACTTTGGTGCCATACTGTAGTTTGTTCTGTCTTCTGAAATGAATAATCGATAGATAACATTTGTATAGCGCATATCCCCGCTCGACAGCAGGCTCTATGCGCTTTACACTATATTATTACCCCAGCAGACCATAGAACACTCAGAAACATTCTCAGCTTCCCGGGAAGCATACAGTGCAAGCAGTTGATTAAGCGCTCAAACAAACAAACTGACAAGATCTTTCGCTGTCTATAGCCGGGTATCCATTCCCACCTGGGTGAAGTGAGGAAAACTCGTGTAAAGTGCCTTTCCCAAGGACACAACGTCAGGTCCCTGACATGATTCGAACCCACGACCTTACGGTTGCGAGTCCGAGAGCCTAACCACTAGGCCACCGACGCCATTCGTGGGGGACGTTGACCAAGATGGCCCCAAACAGAGCTGGAGATCCTTTGTTGCCCTAAACGCCAGATGGTGTAATGGGTAGTAAGTAAGTATGTTCTGTCTACCTGTTTGTATCTCCCTCAACCCCCCCTCCTCCTTTTTATAACTCTCTGGTCTTCTTACCTACAATATACTTGTTGGTGGGTGGTTGGCGGGTGCTCTGATGTGGTTTGCCTCTTCTTTCCTATCAACATATCAAAACATCTATTGCCCTTATCTCTCCTCCTTCTTTTTTTCTGTATGTTACTCTCTTGTAACACCTCTAATCTTCGGCACTTATGTGACCTTATGTTGCAAGTGCCGAAAAACTCTTGCTAAAACAAACAACGTACTTGTTGAAAGTTGTATGGTCATTCCGTGCTATGGAATTGCAATATTTCTCCTTGTTATCTTATCCTCCTTCTCCTTCTTCCCCCCCTCCCTGCTCCTCCTCCTTCTTATCTTACTCTAAAGGGAGCAGTGAGTGCACTTGCGGTTGACACTGACAGTCTGTGCATTTATTATTGTGAGGCGGCGTGGTGGAATCAGGCTCTCGGCAATGTTTGGGCATATAGAGTTATTGGCATCATCTTAAAGCTTATACACTTGTCTTTATTTGGATGAACAAAATCCATTTAACTTGAATACAAGTCGAGATATTTGCGAAAGAAGGAGGTGGGGTTACGTGTACCTGTTTTCAGAGGTAAAATTTGTGAGAAAATGGCCGCCAAAGATTAGTTATTCCCGTAGCTTAAGAGTCCGTGGTAATAGAAAATTTACATTTTTTCTGCCTTTAATCAACGTTTTTCAGAAAAATCCACACAGAAATGAATTCTTTAAAGGGCATGAAAGGTGTTGGGGCAAAAAAGAAAAATTCAATAGAAAATCACAAACCTGCGGGAAAATGCAAGTTTCTTCACTTTGATTATTTTGACGAGAGCCTGATTCCACCACGCTGCCTCAAATATTATGGTCTTTCATTATTATGGAACTCGTTCTATTCAAGCCCCCCCCCCTCCCCTTCATTTTCAGCCCACCCCCCCCCCAACCCCCAACCCATACCCCAGTTCTCCTCCGCCACATTATTCCATTGTTAATCTCAACAAGAACTTAGCTTAAATGTAACTAGTGCAAAGGTTGACCAAAGAACGCAGTCGCTAAACACACGAGTTATGAAGAACCCGGTATCCGGTTAATTTTTCAAACATTTCAATACCGTCTATGTCTGTTCTCGTGGTTTTATGCACCCCGCATAATTTAGCTAAATTTGATCATTTTTTGCTTAATTTCTGATTATTTTCCTTTATCATTCTTTTTTAAAATTAATAGAATGGCATAATTTCACATTTTTGGGCTCAGTTTGCCTAATTTCAGAATTTTTCTGGCATAAAACGACAGGGACAGCTATGTCCATTTAAGAACACATTTCTGTGTTGATTTTTACTGAAAAACGTTGATCAAAGTCAAAGGCACGGTGAAGTAAATGTGTAGTTTCCAATGTCATTCAAGCTTGGAAGTCACCACATTTTGACGGTCTTTTTCTCGTTAATTTTCCATCTGACCCCAGTCGACCCTCAACTTCCTCCATCCCAAATGTCTTCCCTCATATTTCTGTCCCCGTCGTTTAAGGCAAGAAAAATTCTGAAATTCTGCAAACTGAGCCCAAAACGTGAAATTATGCGATTCTGTTAACTTTAACAAAGAATGATAAGCGAAAATAATCAGAAATTATGCAAAACAGGATCAAATTTTGCTAAATTATGTGGGGTGCATAAAACCACGGGGACAGATATTCCAAACAGATGAGTAGGTTTTTTCCGCGTCAAATTCAAGACTAATGAACAAGCTTTAGGATGATACTAATAACTCTATATGCCCAAAAATTGACAAACGTCTGATTACACCGAGTCGTGACACATATTTTTATTTTCCTTCAAGGCGTCTTGTTCATAACACATTAAATACTCTCGTCATCTTTGTTGGTTTTGAGAAAACATAAAAGTATTTATGGAGACCGTTTTTGGTGAGCTTCATCCTGCAGTGGACGAGCAACGTCTAGAAAGATAGAAAGAAAGATAGAAAGAAGAACGAGAGAAAGAAAGTTAAAAAAAAGAACAAAAGAACAAAAGAAAGAAATTTACCAAAAAAAAAGAAAGAAAGAAAGAAAGAGAGAAAGAAAGGACAAAAATAGAAAGAAAAAATTGAATGTTTTGAGCGCTCGCACCAACAAAGCGCTGCTGCGTCGATCGAGGTAAGACAACAAACAAGAGGCCATCCTTCACAACAAGCTTATACCACGCCTTTCACTGGAAACTTGAGAAAAACACGACTTAGCTAAGTCTTGACTCATATTCTTGTCCCCGTCGTTTATGCACGAAACATTCTGAAATTATACAAACTGAACCCAGAAATGTGAAATTATGCGATTCTGTTAATTTTTAACAAAGAACAATAAAGGAAAATAATCAGAAATTATGCCCCAAAAAAGGATCAATTTTTGCTAAATTTAGCGGGGTGCATAAAACCACGGGGACAGACTTAGACAATTGTGCCATGACATAAATATAACCATGACAAAGGCAATTCTGGGGCCCGGATAGTTCCTCACAAAATCCGTTCAAGGACACGCGAGTTGAAATACGTGGTGTCGTAGTGAAATCAGGCGCTCGTCAAAATACATGTAATGAAACCGAAGAATTTTGAAAAACAAATTCACAGGTTGGGCAATTTTTTTTTCGAATTTTTGTTTTGGGCTCAACACGTCATTCCTACCTGGGGTTTCCTGGGGTTTCCTGGGGTTTCCTGGGGTTTCCTGGGGTTTCCTGGGGTGTACTTGAAAACTTTGATCCAAAGGCAGAACAATATGATGTTTTTGTTTTTCGGTGGTGTAAAAAATTTCATGGCGCTCGCAACTGCATAGTTCATATATGAGCGCGCGGGACACACCTAATATTTTCAGTTGGTAGGAAATTTTGAATTTTGCCCGGGTGGCGACCGAAGCCTACTCTCATCGATTTTAGACCACCAAGGGATCTCTTAACGAGCGTAACTTGCACACGGGCCCTCCGAGCAATATGATGTAAATTAGCTCTTTCCGGGGACACTACAACAGGTTTGTAAGTCGCCAAACTTTGGCCACCGTTAGAACGATGACGGTACCTCTGACACCAGGCAACC